GGCGGGCTCATGCTGGGGGCCACCTGCAAGGAGCAGTGGTGGCCAGCTCAGCCCACTCCTCTCCATCGCCTCTACCCAGTGTGAAGGCTTGGAGCTCGGAGGGGTTTCCCTGTCAATGCAGCTGGTGCTGGAGTGGGACATGGAAAACCTCTTGGTGAGAGGTGAGGATGATTAGGGTGGTGGAAACCCCTTAGGGGAGGCAGAGGTGCCTTCACGTCTCCAGGGGAGACTTGGGGAGGAGAGAACCAGCCGATCTCTGGGGACAAGGCTGAGGTCAGCTGCTGGGAAAAGCTGTTATAAACCCTAGAAGATGGCAGTGGGGTGGGGAGTACCCCAGCAGGAGTCCTGCCAGGGGCTCCCCTGGTCCCCTCCGCGGCACTGGCCGTCACACATGAGCCCTCACCTGGTTTTTGATCAGCCCGTCCTCGTAGTACCAGACGGAGCTGCTCTGCTCGCTGAGGCTGGAGACCACCACACGTCCTGCCTTCATGTCCTCCACATCATCGGGGACCAAGAGGTAGAGCTCCAGCTCCTTGCTCCTGATGCGGAAATAAATCCGTCTCTGCAAAGAGGGAAATATTTTTTGCACCGAAAAGCCCTGCTGCCTGCACCTCCGGCCCCAACACGCCGCGGCTGGCTGGGGAAAGACCTCGCCCAGCCTTTGGCTTTGGGAAGGGAGGACCCTGGTCCCCTGGGGCAGCTGCCCAAAGTGTCCTCCTCATCCCCCCAGGAGGTCCCTGCCTCTCCCCAGGGCGATGGCTGTGGCCTTGGCCTGTCTCTGAGCCCGTCTCTTGTAGCTGGCGCGAGCACGGCTCTCCCCACCGGGATGCTGGGGTGTTTTGCAAGGCGCCTGCCCACGGGGAGTGTTTCGCCACCGCAGCGGCCGCTCCCAGGGTGGAGGACAGGGATCTGGGGGTGACGGTGCTGGGCTGGTGATGCCTTTTATGGGCCAGAGCTGTCAGCAGCGCGCTGCTGCTCTCCAGGCCGTGCCCCCCTGCCTCCCCCAGCTCACCCAGAGCTGCCACCGCATCTTTAGCTCCATGTGCGCCGCCCCCCGGCAGGTGGTTTTTTTCGGGCCCCCCCCCCAGCCACTGGCGCCCTCGGAAGTCACCGTGTTCGCACAGCACCCAGCTGCAGGGGCCGGGATGGGATGGGGTGGGATGGGGTGGGATGGGCAGAGCGTGGTCATCCCCAGGGAGGCAGACAACACCCGCCGGCTGGGGGAGAGCAGGACAGGGGCTCACTTACATCCCGCCTTTGACGCGCACCGACAGCACGTGGTTGTTGAAACCCTCTGCCTGAAGACTCCGCACTTCATTGTTCAACTCAATCTCCTTCCCCTCAAAACACTCCAGCCCGTGCAGGAAGATGGAGGGCTCCGAGAAAAACTGTGGGACAGCGGAAGAGATGAGGCGTGAGCGGGAGGAGTGAGCACCCGTGGGTGCAGAAGGGCTGCAAGGCTGGAGCCAGCACTGGGGCTACCCATGGGAAGGGAAGAAGGAGGTTTCTGGGGGGGTTCTGCCCCAGTGCTGGTGGCACTCACCACTGGGACCTTCTTCAAGGAGCAGATGGCGGTGGAGGAGAGGCAGCCCATGGCGCTGAGCGTGGGGTACTCGCCCTCGGACAGCACGTGCTGCTCCCCCGCGAAGGCCGGCCCGTCGAAGAGGATCCAGCTGGCAGGGAGGAGCGTGCCCGGGCTGACGCGGCCATCGTGGTGGGCATCCATCCTCCCGCTGGCCCCCCAGCGCCCCTGTCCTGCCCACCCTCCCAGGGAGCCCCCCCAGGCACCTGTGGGGCTGCCGGCCAGGGTGATGTCCCCGCTCCTGTCCCCAGCCGGAGGCAGCGAGGCCCTGGGACACCCTACCTGCCCCCGCGGACTCTGCAGGAGCGTGGGATGAAGGTGGTGGGCAAGGCATCCTGGTCGTCCTCAAAGGTGATGTGGTCCCCCAAGAAGTCGGGCTCAGAGAAGAGCAGGATCTGGGAAGGGGGAGAGGAGGGGCTCAGTGTGGGGGAGGCAAAGCATTGCCACCACCCCACAGGGGGCCACATCCCCCTGGGGGGTGTGTGTCCACCTCCCTACCCACTGCCCCCTGACCTTGGAGACGAAATGGAGGTTGTGTTCCCCGACCTGGAAGCAGACAGAGTGGGGCTGGTTGATGTCTTGCCCCGGCCTGGCCCCCACCAGCCCCCTGTGCGGTGGCACCAGTGGGTCCCGTGGCAAAGGGGGGGGGGGGGCCCAG